TCAAAAGCATTTGAGTGGAGTAATTGAAAATAGAAAAAAAAGATAGTAAACGGGTTCAACGAGTACAGTGCAAAATCTGTCATTTACCTACACAATGCATAAATATCTAATGCTAAATCAGTCGAAGTTTATATTTACACGATACAGGTGTTAGCGTATTGCAACTACTTCAGCGTGTTCAGGACCTTAAACAAATAAAAATAATCGGCAATGTAAAGAGAACTGCTCCTCGTACATTTACCTGTAAACACGCACGAACCACAAAAGAATTTTAGTACTAGGCATACACTACATGCACATTCCCATCTTGTAGCTTACATTAATATTTCAGGGTATTAAATTTCGTAGGTTGAAGGACCCAGATTCGTAGGTTGAAGGACCCAGAGCAGGTTCAAAATAGAATTATATAAGATAAATTTGTACAACCACATTCACCTGTGTACACACACCTGCAGTCGGTTCGGTACTGGTTGCAGCCCACATGCACACTTCTAGTTCCTGTATCCACAACTTGGTGTAAGGAGGTACGGCGGGTCCAAGATTCTGGCGCAATGCTCTGAAGAAAATAACGGATACGTATTTGACAATTGATGTGATTCAGATGTAGGCGGACTAAGAGTGATAGTTCCAGTTGTCGTCTCGTGTTCGCATAAGTCTATTCGAAATGAATCAATACAAAAACAAACAAGTACAAGGGCGATGGTCTGATATCTCAAATATACTCGTATACATTGATAGAGTCAGCAGCGCCTTAACATAGTACATATGAGTTTTCATATTTAGCTATGCACTGACACTCGATTGAAGGTACCGTTTGTACCCAGGACGACAATATTATCACAAGCAACGACCATATCCAGTCTGCATAAATTTGTATGAAGTGAAGCAGTAGACAGACACACTTTCACATATATATACAGTCAATCACACTCTCACTGACATATATATTCGGTCATGCATACATACTTAGTCATACAAGGGTATACACACCTGGCCAAGCATCGGCTTTCGTGAAAGTATCGTTTGTTTGCCAGGGTGACAATAAGATCGCCAAGCATGATCATATCGAGCGTGTGCATGTTTATATTAAGTGCTGGGACTGCCGTCTGTATCAGCTTTTTGAGCTTTTCCGGCTTGACAGTATCTGTTGTTACACAAGTCGCAAAATGAGGTGAGTAAGTCCTAGTACTATAGTTACCTGGAATCCTAAAAAAGCTGCTAAAACTAGCATATTAATACTCCGCCTGCATACTTCTTCGATGATTGTTGCCCTACAAGGACCAAAGTCAAACAGTTGTATGAGATATATTCAACTACAGCACAGCTGCTACCTTTTTTAAGACGCCAATTGCGAGTATGTACTGGTCCAATGGTTTCGTGTACTTGAATGTTTGCCACAATTTTAATTCAAAGTTTGATATGTTAAGACTGACAGTTGTGTGCCTTTAGTGACACTTCTCATACCTGGGCCGGACGTCAGTAATTGTATGAGATGTACCCATCGATCCACACAACTACTATCTTTGTCACACGCCTGTTGCACGCATATAGTGGCGCGACCATGGCAATCCGTGGAGTCCGAGGACGACATAAGCTTCGAGAGCGCAAAGTATGCATTGCCTATAAGTGCTTGACTGCCGGGTTGTGGGTCAGGCTCGGCAATCCGAAGACACAAACTGTGAGGAATGAGATTAAATTCGATCCGATTCAAAGTACTTGATACAGTAATGAAGCACACCCTTCTCAATGGGTGCTTGGCCGCAGGAATGTGATTCAAACTACTCTTGAAACAAAGGAACGACTCTATTGTGATAAAACTCTGGATATATTTCCTGGTTATTGAAGCATACTAGCCATCATGTACCTGCTCGAGCCATACGCATGCTAACTCTATTCACGTATTAGAGTCGAATGCTAACTCTATTCACATATTAGAGTAATACACGTACTTGCGCCTGGGTTACACGGTTAAAGAAGTCTTATTCAGCGCAAGACACAGCTTCTAAGTACTTAGGTTCATTTTTTGATGAACACAGTTCTACATCATACACACACCTCTATCATATACCATACGCATACACATACTATAAACAAATACCTATTTTTGTCATAAAAATAGTTTAGTAATGATTCTAATCCGTCTATGAACATATGTCTCGTTCTTGTACGTACTTAAGCCATTCCTGTGCTTCGGCCGATGCAATATCTTTGTCCGAGGTAGTCGGCAGTGTGCTGGCATGCTGACTCATCTCGTAGCACAACAGTGCCAATGAATATCTCTGCCAGCAATTGAAAATAAAACTGATTTACTTCGGGAGGACCAAGCAAGGCTTTGAACTAAATTTGAAAGTTGTAGAGTATTAAACTATTCATATTCTGGATATTCTCAGCAGGACGTGCCATCATGGTCATGATCTGGGAGTATAAAGAGCGATAATACAATACATTGATGCATCGGCTAAAGTGGTATATGCGTGTGTAATGATCAATACTAGAAAATACTGCCACACAGTTGTCTCTAATGACTATTGTGTAAGTACAGAGCCTGGCGTCATAAACACGTGCGAATCGGTACTATCGAGTTTAATACTTACCCTGCTGAGACTCTCCGTATGTAGTATGTAAGTAAATCATAAAATACGCCCCACTTATCACGTCATTTTGTGCTTCCAATCCAACTTTGTTTTACAATATCAAATCCTACTAACAAGCCAAAAAAAAAAACGCTTCGCCATTCCTTGTAAGCTGTTTTTGTGATACAGCAGTCAACTACACAAACAAGCACAAGGATATATCTCAAGCGATTTTCATACCGTACCTTTTCTGCGACTTTCGGCAGAAGCACCATAGCGGCCGCCACACTCTGCAGCGCGTCTTGGGCATCCTGTATCTGCCAGCTCTATAGCAAGAAAGATAGAAGTCGATGGTTACACCGCATCCGTACTTCAGTGGTTGGTCTACGTGTAAATGCGTTGTATGTTGCGTAGTAATTCGGGCGAAAATTTATGTCTGTGTACTACTTTAGTGTTCTGTCATCAGCATCCGAACTAATCTTACTCTTCAGATAAACCAAAGGCAATTCAAACCAAAAATGTAATGTACTTTCATATCTAGCAACTAATCTTTAGTACTTGCTAAAGATTATATACCCAGTTTGCATTCTGCACCATGATATCAAACTGAACTTGCTCAAGCACGTTGACCTCCGAAGATGACGAGCCTTTGAGGGACAGAATCTCCAGGAGTTTCTGCGAACACTGTGAAAGCGTTGAATAGATACACTTTATTGTTATCATCAACCACTAGTCTTTACACAGGTACTGAAAGTAGCCTATTTACCCGTTAGTCCTGAGTTTATGGTCCAGGTTCAATATATATTCCTAATACCAGATTCAATACAAACCAAGCGGGAACTACCAGTTACCTACAGGATATCCGACAAGTGAGAGAAACGCTCAACTGAAAATCTGAGATACAAAAACCTAAGTTACAAATTATAAGCATACAAAGTCGAGAATCTTTACATGAGACGTGTAGTAGCCTCACGTCTGGGACGAAGGATGGTTTCTGCCGTGGGAATGTTAAGCTTCAGGGTTTCAGAGCTTAGATTCTCCGCCAAATATATATAACTATTCTTTAACACGAATATGAATAAAAGTTCTCCCTAGCGCTAAATCAAAGCCCATGGTGGCACAAAATCAATACCTGAAATTCGATAGTGTGAACCATTTGGCATTGCACCACCCCCACAGAAAGCGTAAATCTAGAGGTGGGTTGGACAATCATAGAACTATAACAGTTGTGGGACTATACCGATGGGAAGGACGGAGTGATCACAACGCTGTCTCGTAGCAGCAGATCAATATTGATTCCTGCCACATCTGACATGGTACATGAGGTGGGTAGGTTCTGCCCCTTCTATAACAGCATCTTTTTATATTAAAATNTATATATATATATATATATGTGTGTGTGTGTGTGTGTGTGTGTGTGTGTGTGTGTGTGTGTGTGTGTGTGTGTGTGTGTGTGTGTGTGTGTGTGTGTGTGTGTGTGTGTGT